CGTGCAGGCATCTCTCTTCCCTTGGATCAGGTACCGATTTAGTGCCTTTTGAATGATTGCTGCTATTCATTCATCTTCTGCTCCTAACGTTACATCTTCTCTCATGTGAAGTGGGAAGTCCTGCGGGATCATGTCGAGGAAATCAACGAGGCGGTGATGGAGAATACTTAGCCTCAAATGTATTGCATTCGCTGCATTGCCAGCCAAGCCCTTGTTTTGATTTTAATTTAAAGTTTCTATTAGGACTGTTGAATGGTAAATCAATTTAAAAATTATAAATTAATTTGTGATTTTATGATTTTGTTAATTATAAAATATTAAAATCATGGGTTTCGGCTTTATTAATTAGTTTTGAATTTAATATTTCTTATTTTCTTTTATTTATTTATTGGGCATTGGAGATCATTTTTATTTATTTCTTTTTTCACATAGCACTAAACTTTTAAGGTTTAATATGTATAATCTAAGCTAAAATTTATTGATTTTGAGTCTAGAATTGGGTCTCCTAACATCCTTAGTTAAACATAAGGGATCCAATTGATTATATGGATTCCTCATAGCCAAAGCTTATTACTATTGTGGTTATTTCTGTCAACGTTTGATTAGGGGAGTTTTATTATTTCTGCATACATGTCATTCTAGCTATTTGGGCCACATAAATATTTTACATTACATCATGCATAAATAGATTTAATAAATTTAAGTATATATTCTTGTTTAGTTAGTCTATGTTAATCTAGTTTTTATCTCATATAAAGTCTTATTTGCTTGAGCAAATTCATAGTTGTTGTGTGCCAGAAAAATCATGGCAGTAGAGTAACAAATTAATATCTCAACATTGTACGAAATCCAATATGTACACAGATATAAAAAATAACAAGAAGAGAACATGATTTTTTTATGTGAAAAAACTAGAAAGGGAAAATACAATAAGACCCATTTAAATCAAAGTAATCCACTATGTCATTTTAAGTATATTGGTTCACTCTTCTTTAGAATTAGAAAAGATGAAATTACAAAATTTATAATTACAAATATGGAATAGTAATCTAGCATTCATAACTAAATTGGGTTACAACAACTACAATTCTTGGAGATAATATCGATAGCAGACCGTAAAAGCAATGGTAGATTGCTACGAAGGCATTAGTTGATTGATACAAAGGCAGTAGTAGTCTTCCACAAATCATATAAATTTTAGTTGTAAAAGCATCAACATACTATAGAGGCTTAAGCCGAAAGACAGTATTAGCTGACCACATTGGTCGTAGTTGGTAGCTTCAAGAGCGTCAGTTTGTCATAAATGCTATAGTGAGAGGTAGTAATGACACCAATTTGTCATGTAGGTCGTAGTGTGTAGTTACAGTAGTAATTGGTCACATAGGTCATAGTGGGTAGTTGTAAGAATGTCAATTGGCTACAAGTTTTATAATGGAAGGTTGTGATGATGGTAGTTGGCAACATATACCACAGTGTGCAGCTGCAATGGTGTGGGTTGCCCACAAAGGACATAGTGGAAAGTTGTGATAATAGTAGTTGATCACATAGGCTAAAGTAGGGAGTTGTAATAGTATTAGTTGGTCGCAAGGTCCTTTGTTAGGAGCTGCAATATAGTGATGCCACATAGGTTGTAGTTAGTCACATATGTTGTAGTGGAAAACTACAATGTTAACTAGCTATATAGGTCATATTGGGTTATTGCAAGAGAATCAGTTGGCCAAAAATGCTATAGTGAAATTTTGTGATGCCAGTAGTTAGCTACGTAAGCTGTAGTAAGGAGATGCAATAACAATTTACCATAGTGGGGAGTGTGGTAGCAATTGTACAGTGAGGAGCTACAATAGCAATGAGTCACATAAGTCGTAATTAGTCATGTAGGTCATAGTAAGAAATTACAGTGGCAACTGACGATAAAGGCTATAATAGGTCACTGCAAGAGCATCAGTTGATCACAAATACTGTAGTGGAAGGTTGTAATGATAATAATTAGCCATATAGGTCACAGAGAGAGCTGTAGTAGCAATTAGCCATATAGGTTGCATTGGGGAGTTACAATAGCGTCAATTGTCCACAAAAGTCATAGTTGGTGCTACACCGATGATGGATATAACCATTTTTCCTAGGTTTACTATTACACTAAAGGCAACACTTGTTGGCATACAACATAAGGAAACTTCAGAAGTCTAGAGAAAACCACTATATTCATTGTAAGACGATTGTAAGTAGTTGTCGTTGGGAGTTATCACCAGATCTTTAATATGACATTTTTCGCTAACTCGTATTTGGGATATATTGCTGCATTGTATTCAAGGTGCGTCATCGATCCCGATTCTCTTTATAAATGTAAACACGATGTATGCGGTTATATGATTTTCCTTATTTATAATTCTTAACTTGCAACAAAGCTATTTTCCTTATTTATAATTCTTAACTTGCAACGAAGCCAAAAACTTGATCTCAAGCAAAAGCTAGGTAAATTTTCAATTTCAAAGCAAGTAAGAATACATTTATAGTATTTAATATGGGATACTACGCAAGTATACATATCATTATCAAGTAATATAAGATTTTTTTATTAAGCCTCGAATATCGAATCCACGAGGAAACTATATTATGCACTTGATAAAGCAAGAAAAATTAGATAATCAAAATTTTACTTAGCAAAATATTCTTACTTGAATTTTAGATATTCACATAGGAATGAATGTTCAATTCTTTTTGTAATTTTTTGTAATTGAAAATAAAGTAAGCAACTAATTAATTTAACTAGATATTTGCAAGATGAAGATAATATAAATAAAATATCTTTTTTTTTATCATGAATGAGTAACAATTATAGGAATTATGTTGTGGAGGTATTCTAATTTTGTTGTGTCAAATAGGAGCAATAATTATAGGAATTATGTTGTGGAAGTATTCTAATTTTGTTGTGTCAAATAGGAGCAATAATATTCTTTACCCTTGCTAGAGATGCTATAAAGAACATTGACTAATTTATAGTTTGAATAGTCTTAAAGACGGGTTAGGTAAGAAAGATACTAGCTCTCACTTTAGGGTTCCCTCTTCTCCCTCTACCTGGGGGCTAGCTTCTTGTATCAAAACCTAAAACAATAAAGCAAATTGGGGATTTTAGTTTATCACTCTAAAGTCCTTTAATTCTACACCCTTCAAAGTTTATTTCCTTATTTATTTGCACTCAACCCCATGAACTATATCGTCACCATGAATTCAAATGTGATTCTTATCATTTGTTGACTGAGACAATATCATCTCAGATCTTACATGTTCTCACAACAGATATTAACATCTTAATTGGCCAAATCAAGAAGTAAATGAATTACAAGATTTAAAATCATCACAACTTCTTCCAACATTAAAGTCTAATACTTCATACAACTTTCCTCCAATACTTAATCACTTATTATTTTAAGAAAAAAGATAAAGAAAACTACTCAGAATTCATAAAGAAAACACAACCACACTTGAGTTTGAAAATAGAAATTATGCACAATAGACTTGAGTTTGAAAATAGAAATTATGCACACAAACAAGAAGTCTAAATTAAAACCAAATGCAGTCACAAAGATAAAGACTTATCTCAAATTCCTTTCCACTAAATTTCTTAAAGTTCTTTTGAATCTCTTCCTTCACTCACAATACAAAATACACTCGGAATAAAAAGAAAAGTGGGAGACGACAACGATGGGCGATGGGGCGTATGTGTTAGTTGGCTCTGGTCTTTCTGGATAGATGATGATGATTGGCCTCTTTCGTGGATGATCTAAGTCTTCTTTTATAAAAATCCAAAAGGTGCATTGGTGTCTCTTCAAAATATGTCCCCATTCAATGAATTTCTAGAAGATGTCTCATTTCAAAAGCCAATTGAATGATTTTTCATGTCCATTAACTATTTTCCATGTTTTTACCACGGGTTGCTTCAAATACCTCTTAAAAAATTCGTCATCAAATGACTACTTCTGTCGCTTAAGCGCGGGGTACCTGACGCTTAGGCGCGACTCTCTCCTCTCTGTTTAACTGGCGCATAAGCGCCAATTCTGGGCGCTTAGGCACTTCAGTTCTTTTTTGCACCTTCTTCATTTTTGCTCCAAATTTGATCATTTTTCTCTTCTTTTATCATTTTTCATCCATGTGATTGTACCTGAATGAAAAACACACAAATAACTTTCATTAAAGCGGAATACCTCAAAAATAAGTATAAAAATTTATACATAAAGATTATATATTTTAGGTGTATCAGTCATTACACCATATTCAGGGTACTTCATTATACCATGTTTTTAATGTTTCGCTACACCGTGTTCAAGGTACTTTGTTCCTCTACAGTGTGCATCGTTACTTCATAGAGTCCACCAACAAAAGAGAGCAGTGGGCGACAGATAGTCAGTGGAGGTGTCCAGTGAGTGACGGTCAACTACTGTGGAGGTCTGGAGGTACCATCGGGCTTTAATTCTCCTTCCTCCTCCTCCAGCTCAAGTTTAGCTTTAGGTCCCTTTCATGAAAAGAGTGAGACTTTGCTTATAAATATTGAGAGAAACATCCTCCACAAATATAACTTGAATTAGTACAATTCCATCAAACTACTTAGAGTGAGTTTCTTGATCAGACGATGTTTTATGAACGTTT